AAAAACGAGAATTATGAAAGAAACTAAAATCTTTTCTGTAGATGTTTAACTAAAATATTTTATGATTTTAAATACAGAAATAATTTTATATCACGTTAAACAAAGTAAAAACCCAGAAAGGTTCCACCAATGACATGTAGGTAAGTAAATGATTTTATTTCCAGTGTGAATGTTTGAAYCCAGGAGGGATCTGTAGGCAGTTAGAAATGAATTTCACTCAGGAAGCTGCAGAAWGGGGTCAGCAGCAAAAAAAATACAAAATCTCCACATTTTAAAGTGAGGTTCTGTGGAAAACACTTTGAGCAATAATATCTAACGCTCTCTGAACAACCTCCGTTTGGAGAGTTTATGTCTGACAGGACTGATGAACTAACGTGGCCTCAGGATTCCATCATTTGCAGATGATGTGATCCTGTTGGCTTCATCATGCCGTGATCCTTAGCTCTTATTGGAGTGGATCACAGCTGAATGTGAAGCAGCTGATATGAGGGTCAACACTTCCAAATAAGACTCCATGGTCCTCCATCAGAAACGGGTGGATTGCTCTCTCCTGATTGGTTGCGGTTGAGATTATGCCTCAAATGGAGAAGTTCAAGAATCTTGAGATTGATAGATCAGTGTAGTTTCCACAGTGTTGCAGATTCTCTACCAGTCTGTTGTGGTGAAGAGGGAGCTGAACTGTAAGGCAAAGCTCTCCGTTTACAGGTGGGCAGAGGTGGGGACTTGTGACTCGGATTTAGACTTGAGTTGCACTTAAGTCCCTACTATTAGAGACTAGACTTGGACTTGGACCCTAAAGACTTGGTACATCTCAAGGTGGTGAAGGTCTTTATTTTCAGAAGTTTTTTTTGGTTTGTGTTATCAGCTTTTTGATTTTTCATTAAGTCCATAYTTTTRAGTCTCTTAGCTTTTCTGTGTTCCTTTAAACAGTAATGTGACATTTGCTGGTTTCTGAGGCTCATTAAAACTGTGTCAGTTATATTATGAGTGCGTTTGTTGGTTCTATTCAACACAAAATTCTTTAATCAGTTAACAAACTTTAACCTAATGTCATAAATCAGAGTTGCTTTTTTTCTACAGACATGCTTTTATAATGTGATCACAGATGTTTGTCACATCACAGTGAAGGAATTTTTGTAACTGATTAATTGAATATTAGACGCAGTTTTGTYTTTTATACTTCCTGATCATTGTGAGTAAGGTTGAAGCAGACAAAGAGTTGGTGTGTGTGTTATCATGTGTTCTTTCTTTAGCCTAAACAAAAACCAGTTATGTTTTTACACCTTACACATGTTTACACCTCCTGGGATATAAGAGATGTACGTTATAAGATCATTTCATTATTATAGTAAAAAGAAGTTGTTAGTATTTTGCAGAGTCTCTGGTTYGAGCAGGGTTACTGTGTTTTGTTTTGGTTTAAGCTCTTATGATGAGMCTTGTACGATGAACCTGATTGGAGTCAGAAGATTGTGAATAAAGTCTTTAAGAAGAAATCCAATGGATTCCTATTTTATTCAGACATACCATTTTTGAACAACACATTTATTTCTACAACACTGTAGACACTCCTAAAGAAACCACATTTCATGCATGAAATCTCTGGTTTGAATCTTTTATGTTTTCTGAAGTTTCTTTATTTTTCTAATTCACCTCAACTTTATCTTCTTTTTCATCTTTGTTCTCACCAGCTATTTGTTTTGTGTTAAAAGCACATTATCAGAATTAATGATAATTAATGTTTTAGTTCAGACAGCAAACATTCAACATTATGGGATGAGTGTTCAGATATTTATTTTCTGTGTATGAGGGGCCGTTTAGGCCTTAATTCAAACGTGCTCTGGGTCTTTTTATGTGACACAAACTGCACGAATGACACAATGCTGTGTCTTTTTAACCTCTCTGACATGTTTTCTGGTAACAACGAACTTATCTTTTTATTTTTTGTCTAAATTAAATCAACTAATCTCAGCAGTGAACAGAACCACAAYAACAATGAAACAAAGTTGGTGACACATTTGCATAGAGAAAGTAGAAGCGGGAACAAGTGAAGTGATTAAATAGGTTTATTTGATTTACAGACATGTACATTTTTCAATCAACACTCCCCTTTCCCCCMTCTCCTCCTCCACCCCCATGGGAGCATCACAGTTCAGTTCTATAATAATATCCAATTTCTCTGACACTTCTTGCTAGCTAAAAATAAAAATAACCTCTTTTTTTCTGTTCAACATCAGAAATAGGTTTCTTTATACATGATTCTTGTATGACAAGAAACACACATCCTCAGGACATCACCTCAGTGATGATTAATGGAGAATAACTCAACACAACAAGCTATAGAACTGGTGCTAAATCAACTCAGTTTTGGCAAAAAGTGAAACTCAGTTCATGACTCATCCGACCAGAGCCGACTTTCCTCCACATCAAGACGTTTTTTTTTTATTCTTTTTGTTTTGTTTTTTTAACAAGTGACAAACTTCTGTGACAGAGAAGGTGATTCCAGGCTGCAGTTCAAATAAATCCCTGAACATTAAGTGTGCAAAATGGTTTGTTCAGTTATTCCAGCAAAAAAAATCACAAGAGCTACAAAAACATGAATGCAAATGTATTGCATTCCTGCAACAAATGATCACATTGCATTTCTTTGAGTGTATATGTGTGAGATGTCCAATTCATGATCACAGTAAAAAGGATAAATCTTAGTAATGAAAAAGTTTTTTTCTTGACTTATTCTGATACAAAAAGGTAATAACTAGGCATTTAAAAACCCGATAACACAATAAAGTGTAGTATATTCAAAGCTTAAACTTCCCTTTAAACAATATTCTTCATTAAGGTAACAAACAAATAAATACATTGCATCCAAGCCATCATTTACAATATATTAAAGTTACTGCATGATATAGCTTTTTATATATATTGTAGTAAATAAAAAGTCATTTGGTAACATCAAAAGAGACAAAAAACAACTGATAAACGTAAGAAGCTTAGTTCAATAAAAAGATGGAGGCGTGTAAACACGTCAGGTTGGACACAATCACATTCAGAGAGCTCCATGCAGCTGGAGAGACGCTAAAGCTAAAGCTAATGATCCAACATTAGGGACCCAGTGAGTCCACACCGGATCAGTGGGTCCCCCGGCCCTCCTCAGGTCAGCTCAGTCCTCCTCCACTTCCTAGTTTTGTCCCAGAGGTCTGAAAAGTGCTTTTTTTTCCATTTATACACAAGTTTTTCAAACTTTGAAGTCGTGGGCTGCATCGAGGTTTCAGTAAAGATAAATTCACCAGAGAGAAAATAATCCTGCGATCTTCACCTCATCTTTGCACCTCACAGCTTTACTGACTTTCTTCTTAGAGGGCTGTTTTTTATTTGTGGACCCACGCAAAAGTTTTGCTTTACCTCGCAGAAGTTTAATATGTTGCATTAACTGTATTATATCCAGTTATCWAAACAGGATGTTTCACACAAGTTGGGGGAATTGATGGTGATCTTGCATGGCTGCATAGAGTTAACTGCATCTTACATATAACTCTATGTGTGGCTGTGATAAGTTTGTTCATCAAAAGCTGAATGACAGTAGTAGGCTAACTAACTGAGCATGTGAACTTGTTAATAAACCGGCAGGAACAACAGTAATAAATGACCTTTGCGTGGGAACGCAAAAGAAAATAATCCTCTCCGTATWGGGTGACTTCTTCAAATTTTTGTGTATTTTATCAACAGTTAAATGAGACATTTTGGGTGTGAGTTTTAAGAGGGACAGCTTTCCAGCTTCAGCAGCAACATCTGATCATGTGCAGCTTTCAACAACTTTCTTATCAATGGGAGTCCATCATTTCTTAGTCTGACCTGAGGCTCTAGACGTTTCGGCTTCTGTCGTGGATTTAGATTTTAATCACAATAAACTCATGCCTGTGTCTCCGGCTCTTCTCAAAGGTCCTTTCAAAAGGTCTCTCTTCACAATGTCTGTTATTGTAACCCTCGAGGGCTGGGA